ATATTGCGCTCGTGTATGGAGTGGAGCTTGCGTGGTTTTCCCAATATTTTCTTGTTCATGTTCAATGTAAGGCCATTTTTCTCACTAGCGACACAATCCTAACTTGTAACCTGCAGCCACTAGCTCGACATCGATCAGTCGCCTCTTATCCCCTATACCTACCGCTACTACTGTTTTTTTCCAGCCCAATCTTGTTTCTTTCTTTTCTCGCACACAAGCTGTTTGCGAGAGGTAACCGTTAATTCTTTTAATGTGGGCTAGAATTCATGAAGCTGGAATCCTACTTCTAAATTTATTAGGTTTATCGAGATTTCTGTTTTCGTCGTTTGCTGTTCAGTTTTTCTCTTCAACGAAGGAACGATGGTTTTGTCTTAACGATTGTGTTCTGTCTTCCAGCGGCACTACAATCGTTAGTTGCTTTCCGATCGTCGTGCTTTATCAAAAAACATCTGAGCATCTCCTGAACAGTCCATATTGGTTGGCGACAGGTGGTCAAGAAAGTGCACTTCTGCTCTGAAAACGATACTATGGAAAATCTGGAAGTCCAAGATGCCGAAATGGAGTGTTTATCTAGCACATTCGATGCTTCTGACCCCATGGTATCCCTAGAATACAACAAGAATAGTCGTCGGGGCTCTTTTACTATTAGTCAGTCACTGGGATCTCGGAGAATAAATCTTCTTGCGATGAATACCACACCAAATACACGGAACGATTTTTTCGTATCCGATGGGAAGATTGAGTATTACGAGATTTCTCATTTGCCCCCTCTACGTTTTCATTTTGCATTGCCAGCGGAATATCCTGATACAGTCGGACCGGAGTTTTTCCTAGAGTCGATATGGTTGCCGGGATGCCTGCTAAACCGTTTGAATGACCGCTTAAAGGAATTGATTTCGGAAAACGCTGGTGAACCTGTTTTGTGGCTGTTGATAGATACTATTCGAAATGAGGGAGTAGAAATTTGCTTGGGCAGTCATTACGATTTCACAAAAAATGCCAAACTGGACCTCATAACATTTTACGGCAATTTTGATGAAGCAATGCCACTTCCTCTGAGTGCGTGCCACGAATTGCTCGTGAGCCACAATGACGATTGTTTGGACTTGGAATTCCAGAAAAGTCTCTCAGAATGCGCAATTTGTGCTGAAACTAAAAAAGGATCCAGATTTTTTCGTTTTCCTAAATGTCGTCACCGATTTTGTCGAGATTGTGTACAGAACGCTTTTGTTCTAGCAATCAAAGACGGATTTATGTCTTCACGGCTAACTTGTCTTGAATGCGACCAGGAAGCCGGATATCATGAGGTAAGAGTACACAATGGCGAACGAGGAAAATTGGAAAAAATCCCCGCAGAAGCATTGTACATTCTTGCATGTTGGTTTCAATTGTTTGCATTTAGCTATGATAATCGGTGTCCTATTGAATAACTCAGCATAAGCGCTTGGTCAGAGGCTGTAGATCAGACATGGTCTAAATCCATACATAGCACAAGTAATTCATATCTCTTGTTTTTCCATCGCTTTTTTGATACCGATCACCGTTTGATGAAACTTTCCGAAAAAACAACAACAGCCATATGCAGTAAACGTACAGCTCCCGTAATTTTCTAGTCATGCCTGGTTTGTATTCACTAACTAAATCGTTTCCGGTCAGAACGACCGAAAACACGATAAAATACAGCATTAAGAAATTTCAAAACTCATTGTGAGAAAACACAAAGTAGCGAACAAGCTCGTTTGCGGTGATTCTTCTACAGGCTAATACATCACAATTTATATCAAACAGTTTGGAAGGGGTGGAGAGATCAAGACAAATTGGAAAAGAGATAATCAACATTCCATTTCCATGACCGGATGTCGCTCACACTTTGGTCCTCACGCACGTGCACTGGTTTGGGTAAATACAGGTGGGTGGGGGGATGGCTGTGTCGTGTGTGGTGTTGGCCATGGAAGGCCGAGTGTTATTACGAATTGCTTTTGGGAGCATAGGGGGGGGGGGATTGCGTAATTAGATTATATCTGGATTTGCGAAATATTCGATGCGCAGCGCATAGAAATACGTAGACCAGTACGTTTGTCACCGCCTTTTATGCTCTTATTTGTACATAGTTCCCTACAGAAATTCGGTATACCCTGAACATCCTCGGGTTAAGCAAAGCTGAATGCTACCAGACGCGTCCCCGGGTTGTGGATATGGGATACCTTCACCGAAGAAGGTTAGTTGTGAATAAGTTGTGGCATACCGCAACAAATCAGCAGTCGCGAACAGACAGCGGCGGCACTACCAAGGTGTGGGTTTCAGGCTGGCCAACTGGCTCCTGTTCAAAAGCCGCATAAGACCGATGACGGTGTCGTGACGAAGGTCGATGCGACTGACCTTTTACAACTAAATTCATTGACCCCCTCACTTCGGAGGCGAGAGATTACTTCCCGCTGTCTTGCAGTTCGCATTTGGTTGTGCAAAGGTTAGAGGTGCGCCCTCAAAATAAAAAAAACACCGAGCGATGCTGGGGACGTCTCTCATACCAAACTCCCATGTAACTTCGTGATCACGATCATGTCTGAAGCCGGCTAATCTTTTCCAAGGAGNATACCCTATTGTACCGCTTATTCCGTCCTCCTTACGGGATGTAATTTCGTTCGGGAATATAGAAGCGGAAATGGAGGTATGCCATTCCTAGCTTGGGGCGCGTGCTTTGACCGAAATCACATGCATTGTGCAAGATGAGTGAATGTTGGCTTTCATGGGAAGAAATAATACGGTATCACCTAAACGACAATGTGAATCGCTTTCACGAATATTTTTTCGACAGACCGCCTGTAGATATGAGAATGGTACATGCGTTAAATTGGCTGGGTGCAGCCCCGGTTTACTGCAGTAACAGGACGAGCAAATAGTGGAAGGCAAAATTTCAAATGAACTTTCGTTTAG